ACACGGCGGAATGACCCTACGCACATTGGCGCTAACTTCCTTCTTCTCCTGATCTCCAGTGTCCGCTCCTCGGTTAAATACCCTTCGCGCTAGATTCCAGAAAGTTTTCATCCTTTCCGTCGGCGCGATGTGCAGCGAAGGCTGGGGAAAGCGCCATACATTTCGAGGGCTGTCCGCGACACATGACGCAACTCGGTATCACCACGCCCCTTTCCCTCGAGAACCTTCCAGGCCCTGCTCGGCCGCCAATGTGAGGAGGTTAGTCGGCGAACTACGCTTCCGAGGGGAGAAGGAATGGCGCGCCCAGGCAACACCTCCTAGACTATTGGTGATTAGTCTAGGTGGTGTTGGCCCAGGGAGTCTTTGGATGCTTTTTTCTTCTTTATCGTTGACCTTTAGGCGTCTCTCTAGCACTTGGTCACGAGAATTTGGCGGCACGCCCTTTTTTGAGCGCTCGTTTGTGACAACGTCATGAAAAGACGCTAACTAATGTACAAATGTCGCATACGTGGACATATGTTGAAGAGTTACAGATGTTTATATAACCAGTTGTTTGGACTTACGCAATGATGACAACTGGAACATGCGTATTAGCAACACCGGAAGCTATTGTGAAGCATGATGCTCGCGAAGACGCTTGCCCTGGACACTGCTACATAAATCAACTTCAGCGCATGTCAACCAACCACATCTGACGTTAACCCGACGTGACGGCTGTATCAAAATAGTACATATGTAATGTTCATAAAATTGGATAGGCAGCACTGAAACCAATATTAACGTTTCACGAAGATTAGTGTCTATTTGAAAAGTAGTTCCGAGACCTGGCGTAGTTCTGTGGTAAAATGCTTCATTGGTACCCAAAATGCTTGGGTTCGATTCCAGCTGGGACTGGGCGGCTGCATTTCCGATGGAGGCGGAAATGTTGTAGGCCCGTGTGCTCAGATTCAGGCGCACGTTAAAGAACCCCAGGTGGTCAAAATTTCCGGAGCCCTCCACTACGGCGTCTCTCATAATCATATGGTGGTTTTGGGACGTTAAACACCACAAATCAATCCAGCTGGGACTCGTCGGGTCGACGCTACCGACGTCAGGTATTTCTTAACGCTCGCACGTTCAAATTGCTTATGTCTGTTCTCGTCATTACTGAGGGGATAGCAAGCGTCAATCACCTGTGGCACATACCCGCGTACGAGCGGCACATACCCGCCTGTGGGTATGTGCCACTGTCTGGTAAGAAGTGTCAGATGCCGCACGCGACGGGATTGTGACTTTAATCATGTCTTGACAAGCGCGTCATGCTTGTCAAACCATATTACCCTCTCATGCTAGTTTTGGTTCACGCCAATTAACTGGGGTGACCAAGAGCGCTCCCAAACGTAAGCGGCTAGATAGATAGATAGATAGATAGATAGATAGATAGATAGATAGATAGATAGATAGATAGATAGATAGATAGATAGATAGATAGATACGCTCAAAGTCGCCGAAGCTCGCTAAGAGCATTAAAAATACTTTGCCCTACATGAACAAAAACTTCAACGAATGCGTTGAAAGGCCAAACCCACGTACAAACTAATTAGTCATTCTTCGAAGTAGTCCTTATTTCTTAAAAAGCCTTTAAATACAGGAGGAATAGAAATGATAATCTTAATAAACTAGTGCTGAAAACAGGTTATATGTTGAAGGTTGTTGATACAGGGGTTGAGTGGTTATTTGAAAAAAAACTTTTGCCCTGTGTTAGCCATCGCCGTCATGTTCTGGATAAAGTGCGAATCGGTGACACCACACCACACATCGTATGTTCAACGCGTGAGTAAAAAAGCGTGAGTGGGAACGAATGCTGTTGAAGCAGATATGAAAGGAGCCATCCATCTCCGTCGCACCGAGGGCGTATGCAATTACTCCAAGCCGTGTGGGCCAGCTATTTATGGCTTTTGAATCAGAGAGGAGACGCCTCGCCCGTATCCTGACAAGATCGGACCCAAAAGTTTGCTTCAGCTTCGTGTAACATTCCGATTTCTCGCCCATGTATTGGGTGCGAGGACATACCGTGGCGCCGCCATGCGGACGCATCCCTGAGACGTGCCTGGTTGGAATGCCCCGCCATCCCTCTCGCACACAGCCCGCAGCCGCTTTCGCACATCCTTATTTATTGTTATCCTTTCCTTTTGTACTTCACTAAACGAAATCATAAAAATACTGCTGCAGCTTCTTCACTGACAGTACCAAGTGCTAAATAACTACCCCGGAAAAGTTTTACGCTTCTCGTAATGTCTGACTGCCGGCGTTGCCTGCTATGGCCACATTTACGAAAAGTAAGGGCGCCGAGCACGCTGGTTTCGTATAACGTAACGACTCCTTCCGTGTCGAATTGAAGCATCAAATGGGTATTAACGCGTTCTTGCGGCCAAGAGACCTATTTTGCTCAAATAAATGCACACAGCTGTGCTACTTCATTCATGCAGGTTTTGCCAGTGTATTTTGCCAGTGTATTTACCAGTATATTTTGCCAGTGTATTTGGCAGTGTATTTACACGGATAAAATCGGAGCGCAGCACACAGAGCGAGCAGACCAGTCCTCTTCGTCGTCTTTTGGTCACAGAATGGTTCACCCTTCATGCCATAGCTACGTAGAAATATGCCAGATGAGAAATCATTATAATTGTCTTTGTGGTTTTTGCTGCTATACGCGATCAGGTTACGCTCTCGTGATGACACGCACGCAAGCTTGAGGTAGAGCACAGAGAATTTGTGTAATCATTTATTGAACGATATTTTTTTTTATTCTGCTTGGGGAAAAAAGTGACACTGCTATGCGTTGAGGTTCTCAGTCGTTTGAATCTTCTGCCTTTGTTACTTGAGTGGGCGGTTTGCTGAGTTTGGGGACTTTTTTCAGAGATGCATGATTACTCTCTGCTTTTCAAATCAAACCAGTTGGACATGAAATATCTACCACCTACATATTTGATAATTTTTGTGTGTTTGCACCTCGTATCGTACTAATCCGTGTCATTCTTTATGACAAATGATGCAAGCATGCGCTGTTACAATGAACTATATTACTGAAACAAAATAAATGCTAAAGTGTTTCCTGCATACGGTTCTGAAATACCAAGTAGGGCGAGTTGGCGAGTATGCAGGCCACGATGCCATAAATGAATGGCGCAGATGAAAATCTGGCAGATCCCACTTACAGAGGGAATCGATGATATGCGAAGCACGAATGAGGAAGCTTGATATGTCACTCTACAATCAGCACAGTGTTACGAGGTGGAAGTAAATGATGCCCTACATTACTAACGTGTCATGATTATCATGTTTGGATATCTTATTTTTCTTCGTGATCTAGTCCCGTCACGTGAAACGAAATTTAGTATATGTGGAGCTAGCCAAAACGGCCACGAACACGCTATGAGCGTGGTATGTTGTCATTTTCTTAAATGACACGCTTGTCAGCATTATCATGTTTGCACCAATCATACACTTTCGCCATCTATTAACGCCACGTAACACCAAATTTGGTATATCTGGAGTTAGCAAAACGGCCTCGAGCGCATCATGAAGGGCACAATATACTCCAATGTAGCGTTGACTCACGCGCATGCTGGGTGCAGCGACGCTACGTTAGTAATACGCGAGCACTCTACAGTCTGACGCCAGACGTGACCAGTGTCCGTCGGCGTGACCCGACGGCAACCCGCACGAAATGCGATATGCTGCATTTCGCGCCAATGCGTTACCCAGAAAACACTGCGTCGCCCTCTTTTTGTGACGAAGGTACACCGGACGCGCTGAAACGCGCATGCATCAAGTCAACGCAGCGCGGCGTGCGAGTATATGACAAGACCGGCGCCTGGCATGGCAATGCCGGCGTGACGCGACGAAATGAACGCCGGCGAGAATGCGCCCCACGTCACGTCGAAATATGTTAGCGCCTTGACAGTGGTATGTAGTCATGTTCTCACATGACACACATCTCATGATTGTCATGTTTTCACCAGTCACATACCTTCGTCATCCATCGACGTCACGTAATACAAAATTTGGCATATGTGAATCTAGCGAAACGGCCGCGAGCGCTTCATAAGTGTGGCATGTAGTCATGTTGTTACGTGACACGCATGTCATGATATCATGTTTGCACCACTTACATAACCTTCGTCATAAATTCACCTACCATAATACGAAATTCGTTGTATGTGACGCAAGCGAAACGACCTCGATCGCATCATGATCGTGCATGCAGTCATGTTGTTACACGACAAGCATGTGATGATTTTCATGTTAGGGTCTGTCGCTAGTGTTTGCCATGCAATCATGTCATACCATACCAGTTTTGCACCATGCAATGTGAATGAAGCAACCGCAAGAGAGTCAGGACCACGAAATGTGAATCATGACATTTTGTAAATCATGACAATCATGACAATCCACTATAGGCACCGTTCAGTGGAGTTTTCCAGTCCGACTGCAGCGCCAGAATGCATAGCCTAGCGTATTAAAAAAAAGCAACCTTGAGACGCCGTTCGTGCAAATGGAACGCTACGCGCGCGTCTCTCGCCCTGTATCTGTCAGCGATTTTATGGCCTGGATACGTGGGGGACGCGTGCACGCGTCTACATTCTGCGTGCTCCTAACGGCGAATGTCAGAGACTTTAAGACGGGGCAGTGTGAGCAACGCAGCTCCCTTTGGTCAATGCGTTGCCAAAGCTTTCTCTTTTTTTATTGATATGATATATAAGGAGATGTTGGCGCACCATTATATTAAAAAAAGCTTTCTCTTGATTTGCAAGCTCGCTCCTGTTTGCCCTGCCATCTTTCCTTTTTTCTTCCTCCTTCTCTTTCTCTCGGGCTGTAGATATAAGAGCCTGTCCAAGCAACGCCGCTCATATTTCTACCTCCTTTTCTCATCCGTCTTCATCAAGACACGTGCGCCGTGAGCGGGAACGCTACTCAAAAATATCCCGTGAGCGACCAAACGCGCCAGCTCCTACGAGATGAAGCTTGACATTCCCGCCACCGACTTTTTCGACGACGTGTCCTCTGATGACGAGATCGAGGACCTCCTCGATGAAGAGATCGCACCCGGGATGGATAATGCTGGAGACGGCAGCGACACCGATGACGAGACCGAGGGCACACCAGTCGAGGAAGATCCAAACGTTCCACAGACCGCAGCCAGCAGCACGGAGATCGACAATCTGCCAGAGATCGTTCTGGAGGACTGGGACCCGCGTCTCTTCGAGCACGAAGGGACGTCGCCGCAGTGCCTATTGCGCATCCAGGACGACTTGCTGGAACTCCACGAAAATCCACTCCCGGGTGTGCTCATCGAGCGTAATGATACCAGCTGGTTCCGCGTGGCTATGTCGGGCCCCTCGGGCACGACGTACGAGGGCCGCTTGTTTGTCTTTCTTCTACAGTGCCCTCCGAACTACCCGGCGCGGTCGCCACGTGTTCGCCTCGTGAACAATCATGGTGCAAGCCTCAGCCCCAACCTGTGCGCAAGCGGCAAGGTGTGCCTAGACATTCTAGGCACCACGGACAACTGCACCTGGAGCCCCGCGCACAGCATCAAGACCGTGCTCATGGCAATCCAGTCACTGCTGATGGAGGCGTAGAGATTTCCTTGTCTCTTAATTTAAAAAAAAACACAAAGGTAGATATTCTTATTTTCAACGCCGTGCTGAGCTATTGCGGTCGTTGTTGCTTCGCGCATTCTACATTTCTCATGCAGTTGACAAAGTTTAAGTAAAGGTCTTCACAACAAAGGCGTTTTTTGTTTCGTGCACCTGTGTGACGTGGCTCATGTTACTTGGTTTCTATTACGTTTTTTTTATTGTAAGTGTATAATTGATTGTATATAATTTGGGTTGCAGAGTACGCGAGCTCTCGGGAGCGTTTTACTTGTTTCGTAGCGGCTGTTTTTAGCTTTTAGACTGTTGCGCGAGGTTATAAATAGGGCAGTGTGGCATATTAAAGGGATTTCCTACGACTCGTAAAAAAATTATGACTGTGCAAATCAAATGGTCGTTCATCCCATCGGCGGCAACTAGCGTGTTTTCATGCCAGAAAAAAAAAATTATAATTTTAACATGATGTTCAAAGTTCTTAAAAAGTGACCACTTGCGACACCCAACAGCGAATGTAGTCAATCTTGACAGTCTATGGGTAGGACAAGAAATCCTCGCTGGAAGATTTATTTTGCTTGGAAATGAGCACGTCTAACTTGAAATTGTATTTTATGCCCTTGAGGCTGCTCTAGGTTGCACCACAGTCAATTTTTTTTCTTTTTTTACTCACGTGTTCCAATAGCCACCCGGTGGCGCTACCGGCGATGTGTGCGCTTGCTTGCATGCCTGCCTGCAAAACGGCGGAGAAACCCGAGCCCGGCGTCCGTCGCCTCTCACGAAAACAACAAAAACGTGTGTGCCAGGCTAAAATGACCACTAAGCTTCTCAGAACGATAGTCTTTCTTGGGGACCTTCGACGCACAAATTTTGGTCTGTCTGTTTGTAAATTTGTCTGTTTGCCCACTCTTAACTGCACCTGGTATTTTATCAGCTGACCCCATCCGCAGTGCCCACCAATGTTGCTCAGGGTTTAGCGTTCATACCTGTGCAATTGTCAATTATAAGCAATTATTGCGCAAGTCTGTGGCACCATAACAACACATATATATTCTGCGTGTGCATTTTTACTAACAAATGCATACATAAGTAATTTTAAGAACCGTAGCGCTTATCACGCTGCGCTGACGACGCAACGCTTGCACGAAAAGATGAGTGTTTTCAACGCCTTGCTAGAACGCGATGGCGATGGCACCTACCCGTCGCCTTGCGTTCCTCACCTTATCACCTCTGAGACGGCCGCGCACACCCGTATCAGAGCTACTCGCTTTGTTTTTCGAGAAAACTGCCAGATGGTGCTCATGTCTCACGTGTAACGAGACTTGATGCGCTCGTTCGCCTCCGCTGCACTCTCGAGGCACTCTGACGCAGTGCCTCCAAAATACCATTCACCAATTTTCTTGCGCAGAACATCATATTAATTATTTACTCTCTCCACACGCAAGACTATCGTCTTTCAACGACATTTGCACATTACATGCAGATACGGGGCCAATTTTTTTTGCTTTATCATTTGGGAGGCATTTCTTAGCGAACTTCAGTGACATTGAGCGTATCTATCTATCTATCTATCTATCTATCTATCTATCTATCTATCTATCTATCTATCTATCTATCTATCTATCTATCTATCTATCTATCTATCTATCTATCTATCTATCTATCTATCTATCTATCTATCTATCTATCTATCTATCTATCTATCTATCTATCTATCTATCTATCTGTCTATCTGTCTGTCTATCTATCTATCTATCTATCTATCTATCTATCTATCTATCTATCTATCTATCTATCTATCTATCTAGCCGCCTACGACTTATAGCTCTCCTGGCTTTTTCGATAATGGTATTGATACCAAACTTGGTATGGCATAACGTGATTGTATGAAGAACATATTTGACTAGTCATAACATCAAAATCACGACGTCATGAACGTCATGATTTACATTTCATGGTCCTGCGCCTCTTGTGGTCATTTTATTCACATGGCATGTTGCAAAACTAGTATGGTGTGACTTGATGGCATGGCGAACGCAAGCGACAGACCCTAACATGAAAATCATTACATGCGTGTCATGTAACAACATGACTTACATGCCAAGCTCATGATGCGCTCGCAGCCGTTTCGCTCGCGTCACATATACCAAATTTGGTATTACGGTACGTGAATGGATGACGAAGCTATGTGACCAGCGCTAAACATGATAATCATGAGATGCGTGTCATGTGAGAACATGACTACATGCCACAGTCAAGGACACAAATACATTTCAACGTAACGCAGTGCGCGTGCTCGCCAGCGTGCATTTCGTCGCGTGACGCCGGCGTTGCAACGCCAGGCGCCCGTCCTGCCATATACTCGCAGGCGCGCGCTGCCCTGCGTTGCTTTGATGCAAGCGCATTTCAGAGCTGTCCGGCGTCCATCCGTCCGGAAAAGAGGGAGACGCAGTGTTGTCTAGGCATTGCTCGGGTAACTCATCGGCGCGAAAATGCAGCATGTCGCATTTCGCGCAGGTAGCCGTCGGGCCGCGCCGAGTGACGCTGGTCACGTCTGGCGTCAGACTGTAGAGTGCTCGCGTATTGCTAACGTAGCGTCGCAGTGCCCAGCGTGCGCGAGCGTCAACAGCTACAATAGTGTATACTGGGCTCTTCATGATGCGCTCATGGCCGTTTTGATAGCTCCACATATATCAAATTTGTGGTCACGTGACGTCAAGGGAAGACAAAATATATGACTAATGCCAACATGATAATCCTGACACGCGTGTCATATAAGAACATGGCAACATACCACGCTCATAACATGCTCGCGGCCGTTTCGCTAGCCTTCACATATACTCAATTCGGTATCACGTGACGTGAGTATAGAAGATGAAGGTAAGCGACACATCCAAACATGACAATCATGACACGGAAATCATGTACGGCATCATATACCTTCATCTCTTAACGTTGTGCTAATTTTAGAGTGACATATCAACCTTTCTCATTTGTGCTTCGCATATGATCGATTCTCACTGTACGTGAGATCTGCCAATTTTTTAAAGGGCCGCTCACCAGGCCCCATACCAAATTTTAGTTAGACCGTGAAAGTTGTTAGGTGTCAGATTTTGTCCCAACCCGGAGTGGTGCGACGTTTCATCTTTGTCAGGGCTTTCCAAAGTTCGAAAAGCTGGAATGGGCGGTCCAGTTTCACGTTCTCTGCACCTGCATAGGAGTACGCCGATCCACGCGGGTCCTGGGTGGAGCTAAGTTATTGGTCCCTAAATTTTTGCGCCAGCTGGGTTGCATTACTTTGAAAGCTATGTATTGCCATTTTTAAGTGTTTCTGAGTTTCGGTGCAGGTTTGCGCTGTGTCTATGAGCGCGCGAAACAGCCTCCAGGTATTTTTGCCTGACATCTGGCACGCTGCCGTGTAAGACGATGGAAAACGAGGACGCGCGAGTAACTGCGAAATGCATTTCGCAAGTCCATGACAATACCGGGTACGACGTGTGCCTTCCCTTACGGAAACGCCATACATGGCCCATATATAGGTTATATGTGGCCACATATAAGCATATATGGCAGCATATGTGGCTTCTATTTACTATATATGGATGTATATCTGGCGGAGTCGGTTCATGTATGGGGTTATATACAGCCATATATGACGCGGTTGGCCCATATAAGGAGTCAAATCCGGCCAAATGAGGCACGGCCACACCATATATAACATATCAAGTGGATCCTTATATGTGGAAGTGCTCCCTCATTTGGGATGAACCACGTATATATTTAGCACACCGTGATCACTCTTTTATGCGAATTCTAATATATAACAATCTGTACACAAAGCTGACCTGCTTATTTTTTACAACAATAGGAGTATTATTATATATGTTGTTTTTGCCATGCAAAAAAAAAAAACCCAAACTCAGGTCAGTTTTGTGCACGTGATAGTTGCAACTCAGTTGAGTGCATATATGCATGCATTTGTGTAATTCAACTCGTACATTTTTCATGGCATTTAGGTTTAAAACAATAAGTTGTAAATAATACGACGTAAATATTGTATACGAGAGCAGACATGTTTTACGAGGAAGGAATCGTGTCAAGTCACAAGACGTGTTGAAGCTTCCGAACCTCGCTAATATTATAGAGCAATACTATATAGTTTTATGTAAAGACAAAATGCATGCAACTTATATTGTTCACATTGATGCATTGTTTAAAGTGGCAGCAAGAAATAGTAATTTCAATTCACTTTTAGGTTCCACATCGGTGGACAAAATTTCTGAATATTTGAAGGTTTTGATGGCTATATGCTCCCTTCACATAACAAGATTTCAATTAATCCTGTTGACCCCTTATCTGCGATTGCTTTCAGCAGCCATTTACTATAATTGCATGCGCAATGCAATGTTTAAGGGAGTATTTTCAAAAACAAAAAAGAACTTACGTGAATACAACTTGCAGGCACCATTACGATTACATTCAAGATGGAAGCTGTACTAATTTATTGCAAAAAACATCTTGCGTTTCCTTTGGCTACGTATAATGTTCCTGGCTATGCACAAAGTAAATTTATCGAAAAGTTTATGATTGCACTAGTGAACAATTACATTGTGTAATGTTTGCAAGCGTCAAATAAATCTCACGTCATAGGCATGTACGTTAAGAAAGGTGCAACTGACTCACACGTGATACACATTTAATGGACCATGTAATGAAATGCTGAAGCTTTATACCAACATTTAACGCAGAATGCCGAATTCACAAAACTTCTATTTTGTGTGGGTGTGTCATTACTTGGTCGAGGTGACTAATGCGCACGTGCCATCATCAGGATTAGCATAAGCATTGCCTTGTGAAAACCATTAGTATGACACATTTTTGCGGGCTGGCGTGATGCCTAAGCCAAACTCTACATTTTATAAACAGCCCATTGCTGTGCAGGCGCATAACGATTAAAACTGTTTGCGAACATATCCTTTCAACACCAACAC